TAATCTAATCTTCAAATCCCCATGTAAGCTTCACCCCACCTGCATTTTGGAAATAGTCCATGGACCATACCTTTTCCTCTGCCAGCGGAAGCCTTTCCTCCCTTGTCCCAAGCAGGGCCGATGAAGGGCGTCGTGCCATTTCTGCACCCACCCGACAGCAACAGCAATGAGTGGGGAGTGAAGTGCACCCGGTTGATGCAGGCGGTTCAAAGGACGGCGCGCTCAGGACAGACCAGCAATCTGTGCCAAAATTGCAAACCCTCCTGATCACCTCCAGCCAAATTCCCACCAACAGCAATCTTGCAGGAGCAACCATGTCCTTCATGAGGCCCAGAGTGATTTCCAAAGGAGATTACATTTTCTGCTTGCCTCATCCCCTGGACAGATTGCTGGCTGGGCGCAGATGAGCAAAGCAGGGCATCGCCATTGCCCACCCTTCGCCAATGCATCTCCCGGCTCCTTTTCACCCCAACCCCTTCCAAGCAGACGGTCTCCAGCGCCTGCTTCCCATCGAGCAAGGGCCCCTGCTCCTGCCGGCTACGGTGCCTGGCGCACTCCCTCCCCACCAGAGGCTGACCGCCATTCCCTCCTGGACCGCTGGTCTGCAGTTTTAGTGATCTTGCACCTGACCCAAAGGTGGCCTGCCCAGTCAATGAACCCCCCTTGCCCTGCATGTTCCCAGTCCCTCGGCAGCCCCCTTCGACCCTCACATTGGCCTCTGGGTTTCTGCCCAGCCCGGGCGGAGCGTACTCCGTGCCTCCCCAGAGGAACCTGCTTCGCTTTCTCTTCCCCCCACAACTCTTTCAGTTGCATCATCTGCACAACGGCATTGTGATGCACAGGCCGTCACTGTGGTGCCTCGCAAAAGGTTCCCCGTAAAATCAGACCAAGCTTTGGAGCAAGGACAGGGACGGAGTCACGGTGGGTGAGTTGGGCGGCCACAAACGTGTGCTAAATAAGTAACTGTTCAGCTGGAGTCCCTTCCTTGCTCGGAGCCTTTGACCCCTGGCAGGTTAAGCCCAGAGCCCCCAAGCCGCCAACCTCCCAGGCAACGGCCGGGCTTGGTTGGCGAGGGGGCCGCCAGGCCAGCCAGCAGCAGGGCTGGGCTTCCCTACCTACTTTCCGAGAACAGCTTTGGCGAGCCCCCCTGCGGCCGCTCACACCCCACAAAAGAAAAGTGGAGGGCAGGAGGGCGTTTCAACCCCGGGCAAGCGCCCTGTTGTATGTTGTCTGCGGGTCACGGGGTCTGTGCCGGTTCTCACCAGTTCTAACACGCGAGTCTAGAACCTTGCCGTTGTTTTTGATCCGTCGGTTCCTTCCTTCCTTCCTTCCAAGACTGGCCGTGCTTCCATGCTGGGTAGAGGGCCCTCGATTTCCTTCCGCTGCCCAGCCCTGAATGGTGCCAGTCGATGGCGTCCTCTGCATGCTTCAGCTCAGACAGCAATCGAAGGAGAGATAACGTGTATCCGAATTGGCAGAAATGCCCTTGGACAAGAATTGCTCTCCTGCCTGGCTTGGAAAAAACTAGGCTGTTGCATAATTTGGATGATCAGGTGGGCGTAACGTTTCCTTCTGGACTGGTATATCAGATCCCCCTGAGAGTCAGGCTGTCATTCTCTTCACAGCAGCACATTAGAAGTCCTGGGAGCTGCCAGGCCCATGGATCTCCTGGGGCCAGGGACCCTTGTCCTGGCCGTCTGTCTCACCTGCCTTCTGGTCTTCTCCACTTGGCAGCAAATGCGCCGAAGGGGCAAGATGCCCCCTGGACCAATCCCCCTCCCCCTCATTGGGAACCTGCTCTGGATAGACCGAAACAATCTGCCCAGTTCACTCATCAAGGTAATGCCTCCCCTCCCTCCCCTTTTCTTCTGCCCCCCCCACCCCCACCCCCCGCGCGCCGAGCACAACCGGTCCTTCCTGCCCTTGGACTCCCTTGCACCGGTTGCCCGGAGGCTGGTGGAGACCTGGACCCAAGAGTTTTAATGACTCTCCCTCCCCCTCCCTCTTCGGAGGGTCAAAGGCCTCCCTTCAGTCCCTTCCTACAATTTCTCACTCGTTTTCTGCCTGATCTACTTTCCTAGAAGTTCCAGCAGCTCGCCCTGGGGAGGGACCGCCCCGGGACAGGAACACGATTGATTGATTGATTGATTGATTGATTGATTGATTACGTGCCATCCAGTCTGTGACCCGGCCAATAGATATTCCCCAGGAAGAGCAATCCAGTCCCCGCTGTTCTCTTTTTTGCAAATGGACCTGCTTCTCGTGGACAGCTTTGAGTCGGTTCACTGTGAGACACGTGCACCCCCCCCTTCAAATCAGCCTGCCTGCTGTTAGTTGTGGGGCATCCGATCAACCGACTGTTCAGTAATTGCATACACTGATTTGTGTTTCTGTCTTCTGGATTTAAAGCTAAGCTGCTCGGAGGCTCTGAAAACGGAGCAGCGTAGAAGTTGTTCCAACTAGTGAAAAAACAGGGCTGTGCGTTCGACAGGAGCATGAAAAGAAGAGGGCAGAGAAATCTCTCTCTCTCTCTCCACCTCCTGCCATGTCTCTATATGGGTACTTAACCGCTACGTCAAAGAGCCATTTGGGTGTACCTGCAGTGCTCGGGTGCTGGCACTTCTGAAAAATATTGCTAAGAAAACAGCAGGGACCTGCCCATTTAATCACCAGGATTCAGGGTTGACTGAAGATCATCAATCGTTTTTCAAAACTTCTAGGAGGAGAGCGGTGTTAGTCCGGAGTAGCCAAAAATCAGAAGGAGTCTCAGAGTCACTTTCCCCACTAACCAGTTTTGCGAAAAGGCATAAGCTCTCACGAGCTGCCTTTTCATAAACGCTGCTTTTTCATCCCAAAGGTTAGTGGGTGAGTGGGAAAAAGAGGCTCCTTTTGACTTTGGACCACCACAGCTGTTCTCCTCCAATGCTCACCAAAGCTTCTGCTTTCTAATAAAATGCATTAGTCAGAGAAGGTGTACCAGGCTCCTCCTGATGTTTTAAAACCTGACAGAGAGAGCGAGAGAGATTGCAGCCCAGCGAGAGCAGATGCAAATATATGCTAAATCTTAACTTGAATAGAATTAGACCTTCCACATATGC